GTACTCGTGAAGATAGCCCAACAGAGAGATGGTTTGTAGTGTCTTGCCAAGCCCCTAATAGAAAAACACCATTTATTAGCACACTGACTAAGGTAACAACTGTCTGAATTGAAATATTTTGTCAAGACATTGGAACTATACCACCTGTAACTAGTAACAGATCTTAAATATCCACAGGAAATAAATATACTTGCATATTCATTCTCAAACAAAGACAAGAAAAATGTTGAATCTAAGAATCTGTTTATTACCATCTCATCTGCAAGGATTCCATTGATGCCATTCTCATACAGTCGAATGAGCCAATTTAACCCAGCTAGTTGATAATCCCTCATTTTCCCTTGGATACCTGCAATAAAATATTAGCCTCAATAATTAAAAAAAAAAAAAAAAAACTGTCCCAAACTTTGATGCAAATGTAAAACATAAGGAATATATTGAAAACAAAGCAAAAAAATGGAAAACTAACAAGATGGTTGTGTAAGGAGACGAGTGTTCCCAGTCCCAGATAAACCATCTTCTTCCTCTTTAAGGTATTCTTCATCTTCTTCTTCTTCAGTTATCTTTGATGCATGACGACCCCTTAAATATTGGCAAAACAAGAACCATAATTAAACATTCTCACAATAAGTATCGCATTATTTATCAATAAAACAAAACAACACCCATTGGTTGACAAGGATAGCGTGCAGATATTAAATAATTGCGTGTTTAATCATTTTCAAGCAATTTATAATCGTGAAAGAGAAAAACGTGCTTGTGTGAAAGAGAAACAAACAGGAAATGTGATCTCCCACATACCCAAATAGCACAGATTTTCAACCACAACATTAATGTCCCTAGACCCTCAAGATTTACGAGAAGGAAAAAATATAAAACCTATAAAGACACGAAATAACAATAATGGTTAACGGGAAATTAAAGTTTCCTTAGATGACAGAACAGTTAAAGAATAAATAATGGCCAGCGGAGGAGCTTATATCAGCAATAGTCTGCAAAAAAGATGCAACCTTCCTTTTAACAACCCCAGAGAAAACCATCATTGAGCCATCCATCCAAGTTACCAGGAAGCAAACAAATATTTAAGAGGCTCTTTAAATGACAATTCATACCTTCCTTTCGTTTTCTTTTGAGAAGAAGAATGCTCGCCTTTAGCAAAATGAGCAAATATCTCAGTTTGTTGCAGAAGATATTTCAAGCGTCCCTTCCCCTTATTATTCTGCCATTCCATAACATTAAGTAGCTGTTTCTTATCTCGCAAAACCAGGAACAACATCAAAATTATTGTGTAACTATTGATTTAACAAACCATATCAGCATCAATTGCAGCATTTTGTGCATCCAACATATCCTGAATCTTCTGCTTCTTCATTTGTTGCATTTCTTTTAGTCTGGCCTTTTCACGCCTGCTAATATCGACTTTATCATCATCCCCGTCGTTACTTCCGTCCTGCGGGAAAAAGTGACAAAAACGTATAGCGTTGGAAAAATATACAGTTCCGGAAATACAAGCACGAGGCCGAACTTAAGGCATGCCACCATATGCTCAACTCTCCAGTGCTCTCAAGTTTCCAAATGTACAAAATAATCGAAATTTGGGTCAAAACCTAGTTAATCTAACCTAAGTAAGAAGTAATCCAGAGAAGGTACAGGAAAATTGAAAATCATAAACCCTACCGAGATCCGAGTAAAATTAACAAAAACGAAGACCGCATATTGAGTAACACAAGTCGAAATTTACCTCTTCCTCGCCATTTTCGACAGGTGATGCATCGTTATCTGAATCCTCGGCAGCTTCATCCTCGTCAGAGCCTGCCGAGCGAGCTACCGCTTCGAGCTCCTCCTCGTCCTCCTCCTCATTGATCTGCTCGTTAGTTTGCTCCTCTTCCTCCGACGAGCTCGAGCCATTGGACATGGCTTCATCGGAAGACACCTGTCGTTTCGAGGGTTTCGCCATAACTTTTTCTCGGACGCCGGGGGTGGGTTTCGAAAAAAGACTCTGAAAGAGAAGTGAACCGACTTCTAATTCTCGACCCACTGACCAAATGTAACGATACTTAACAACATGAATGTTTTATAGCCCTTGGATTGAAATCAACGAAGATGTGCGGGTCAGAACGATTTGTTACGTGGAACCATAATTTTCCCGCCAATTAAAAAGGAATTGCGAGTTCCCGCCTATTGCTGGGTTGGGCCTTTAATGGGCCTTTCAATTGGACATAATATGCTCGGCTCACTTACCTATTGCTGAGTTGGGCCTTTCAAGTGGACATAATACGCTTGGCCCACTTGCCTATTGCTGGGTTGGGCCTTTAATGGGCCTTTCAAGTGGACATAATACGTTTGGCCCACTTACCTATTGCTGGGTTTGGGCCTTTAATGGGCCTTAAAATTGGACCTAAGATCCTCGGCCCACTTAGCCATTGGAGTGGGAGAAATTTCATTAAATGTCCTATTTATCGAGTTAAATTGAGTATAATAAATTATTTAACTTTTTAATATTGCTTTTAACTTATTTTACCTTTTTTAATTTATGAACCTTCCACAATTTACAACTAGGGTTCTACTATTTTCAAATTTAATATATACTATTTTTTAAAAAATTAATATGCCAAATTTTAAAAGTTAAAAATTTTATTATATACAATTTTTTGTTACAAACAATTCCATCATTTAAGATTTGTTTATGATTTAATCATAAATTAAGTCTCACAAAACTGGGATTAACAATACAAAAGTCATTATCGCTCGTACAAATCAAATAATAAGTCGTAAGTTCTTACTAGGAGTTCATAACTCACTTCGAATCAAGATTGAATCACATATGATCATCATGTAAAATATTAATCGTTAAAATTTGATATATATTTAAAAGTACAACAAATAAAATTAACAAAACCAAATAGTGAAAGTACATTATCAAATTATAAACTTTAATAAAAAAAACAATTCAAGTAAATGAAAAATAAAAAAATATATATATTCTTGAAAAAAATAGAATATATTAAAGTAAATAGACGGTTAAAAATGGATCTTCGTCTCCGAGGGACGGAAGTCATAGCACCGCCGTTCATTCCGTCGTCGCCGGCAGCATCAACGATGAAGAATTCCAATGCAGCAGCCATAAGGATGCACATAAGAAACACCGCTAGAATCTTCTTATGCATGTCTCTTAATGCCTTTGGCGATGCTGGGAGAGATTTTTATTAAGATTTGTCTTAAATTGTCACGTCCTAATCATGAAAAATGGGTTCGTGAATCTCCTATACATGAACTTTTTCGAGTTCATTTGGTATTAATTATAACATTAATATTGTTTATATGTATATAAACATTTGTCTAGCATTGTTTTGAGATATGGAGTCATTATCATTTTGTATTTATCTAATGGCGACGTTAAGCCATACAACAAGGACCCATTATGCCCTACATGCTACATGGCTGGGACAAAGGATTGTGATACCACGAGGGTGGGCTAACTCAAAAAACGTAGGCTACAACTCGCCTACATGAAGCCGGAATCACTAGTAATCGTCGGTCCATACGGCGTTCATTCAAGTATGTACACACTACAAATTTAAAATAAACGACAAATTTTATATATTGAAAAGAAGAAATTACATTATAAAAATGACGTCACAAATAAACTTAATTTCAAAACAATAAATTAAACTTTGAACCTCAACCTTGGCGGCGGCAGCAGCAGCTCTTGTTTCATTTCATCCTCTTTTATCTGCAAGGCGTTTAAAAACGGTCCTTTATTTTATCTGCAAGACTTTTAAAAAGGGTTTTTGGTGGACGTGGGACGGACGGATCAGCTTCCGTTCCGTCGCTGCCTGCACCGTCGACGACGAAGAATTCCAATGCGGCGGCCATGACGATGCACAAAAGAAACACGGCAAGGATCTTCTTATTCATTTTTGTATCCTTTTTTTTTTTTTGTTGTGATTTACTGTGTTTATTTTATTTTGCAATTGGATGATTGTTTAGGGAGAAGAGAATGGCTATTTATAAAGCTATTATTTATTAAATTTAGATAATTTATTGCTAAAAATGGGGATATTTAGAGGAAGAAAAGGTCTTTTTCATGGATTGTTTATTTTCTTTAATTTTAATAATAATTATTGAAAATGGTAAATTTGGGTTCCTTCAACTAACTTCCCAAAGGAGAGGGAGATTCAATTCCTCGTTTTAGATTTTTTTTATTATAAAATAATATGTTATTTTCTTACGTGGAAATAAAATATGTTTATTTAATTTTACTAATTATGCATTATATATTCGTGTTCATCTCAATCCTTTTGTGATGCCAAATTCTATAAAGAGAGTTAGGTTAGTGAGGGGGAAATTTAATTGATTAATAAATAAAATTTAATAACAAAATGTTAATTATCATAAAATAATACTTAAATATAAACATTAAATAATTATCTATAAATTAAAAAGTCAAATTTAATATCTAGTTGCTACATTTAATTGTTAAGATGGTGTTTGAGTGTCTTCTGTTAGACGAACACGACTCTCTGCAATAGTATGATATTGTCCACTTCACGACTCTCCACAATGGTACGATTGTCCACTTCGAGCATAAGCTCTCACGGCTTTACTTTAGGCTTCCCCAAAAGGCCTCATACAAATGGATAGAATATTATTTGATTATAAACCCATGATCATTCCTTAAATTAACTTATGTGAGACTTTCATCATCCAACACCTTCGATCACCCTCCCCTTTCACCTGAATTAGTCGAGGATTTTCAATTGAGGGAATAGTTTGGGAGTTGAGATTGAAGATACGTGGGATGCTATCCCGCCTCTTGACCGAAGGGCCAACCCACCTCACACTCCTCCCTCCTCTAATGCTCATATTGAGGCGGAGCTTGCTTGCAAGCTTATCGCTCACGCTTGGTTCGTAAGAAAATTCTAGGTAGTTGGTCACCATAACTAAACATGATTTTTCATCGCTCGATAAAATGAATCTAAAACCTGAGGAAACCGAGATGCAACAAAATATGAAGCACATTATTCACCTTATAATATATATACATATCATACAATGGTGGTTCATCAAGAATGAAGCAATAATAAGGTTTTAATTCTTTAACAAAGATCAAAAGATTTTACTCCGGAGCAAGAGCATGTCGAAAGCTGGCCAACCTCAACTATCTTGCAGAAGAATCACCTTAATCAGAACCAAATTATTTTGCCTCCAAACTTTGCATTCGAGGAACGGGAGTAGCAAGGTCCCGAAACAACACGACGTTGCCTTCTGAATCGATCGACCCGTATTCGGCGATCACCGGGTCCATTACGATCCAGCATGTTGCAGGATCATCAGTTGGGAATTCCACCCCATAATAGGATAAATGATCCTGAATGCTGTTTCCAATTACAGATCTGCATTTAAAGACCCAAAATATCACCACAAGTTTCTAAGATGGCTGATTGTTCTTAAGTCATATGCTTCTTCAAACATGATCAATACTTGGTGATCAACATGTTGATGAGTAGATGAACTTCAGCATCAAAAACAGAGAAGATTAATAAGAACTTAAACCATAAAAGTTACTGTAACGCAATCCTCTTTGGGCTTTAAAACGCGTCTGTTAGGGGAAGGTTTCCACAACCTTATAAATGGTGGTTTGTTCTCCTCCCCAACCAATGTGGGACATCACAATCCACCCCCTTTGGGGCCCAGCGTCCTCGCTGGCACTCTTTCCTTCCTCCCATCGATCTGGGACCGCCCCCACATCCACCCCTTTGGGGCCCAGCGTCCTTACTAGCACATCGTCCGGTGTCTGGCTCCGATACCATCTGTAACTCCCCAGATCCACCGCTAGCAGATATTGTCCTCTTTGGGCTTTCCCTTTCGGGCTTTAAAACGCATCTGCTAGAGAAAGGTTTCCACACCCTTATAAATGGTGATTTGTTCTCCTCCCCAACCAATGTGGGATATCACAGTTACGGTAATGAAACTGAGGATGCTTCAAAAAATCGAAAACATCGACAAATTTGATCAAACTCGGTCAGTTTGAACTCTTCTCGTCAATCATTTCGGTATTCAAGATCACAAAACCAAAAACTTTATCAGTTCGTGATTTTTTCCGTTGGTTTCGAGGACGGTTGTAAAATATTACTCCCTATATTGACAACAAACGCTCAAACATTTACCTGCTACAATTTGGATCTTCACCCGAATCGTCACAGACCGTCTCGATGTAGGAGGCAAGGCGATTTGATGTAGATGAAGTATCCTGAAGCCATACCTGCAAGAGAGATGCGTCCACTAATATAGCAAGAGAAGAGACATCCAACTCTGCCCATTATAAAGCCTACCCACCGAGCTTACTAGGTTCCTTTTACAGAAAACTTATGCATAATTCACATATTCAAGATATAAGCAAAATGGTACCTCTCTAGGGAAGTGGTGATATGTTTTCCGTGGGATAATGGAAAAGTAAGGAGGCAAATGGGGCACGATATCGTGTTCATGTGTGACTCGAATGGTATCCGGTAAATGTTTGCTGTAGTACGAGGCAAAAACTGCGTTGCCAATACGAGGTTGGCCAAACGTCATAACTTGAACATTTGGCACATTATGATTAACCTGTGGAAAATGTAAATACTCTACTATAAGATAATTAATCCTATCCATAAACCTCCAAAACTAAACAAAGATGGCACTAAAATTTAAAACATGAACAGGAAGAAGATTTTTGCAAGCCGTTAACTCACTTACTATAAGATCAAGAGCACAAAAAGCAGCAATTGCTCCCCCCATTGAGTGCCCTGTGACAATGGTGTCAAGGTCCCCATAAACTTCCTTTGCTGTTTTTACTGCATTTAGAATTGCAGGGCGTATTGTTGTACAGTGATATGCACGATAAAATCCGCTATGTACCTAACATGGTCGAGACGCACGAAAAGAAATCAATGCGCTAAAAATCCTGTGGAAATAAATCAAGCACTACACACCTTTGCACCTTCCATTCCAGGATAATCTAAATCCAGCTGCTTCCAGAACAAGTCTTCTATCCAATTCTGTATGCTGCAAAATCAAGGAGACAAAAGGTTAACAAAATTTTCGCATCAAACGTGCAAGAATGTGTTTATCTCTGCAGATAGCGGATGGTATTTTCTTAAAAGAACAATGATATTAAATAAGCAGCCAAACGTTCAAATGACTGATCATTACCAAAGAAATCAGTTTAGAACAGAAGAGAAATTGAGTCTTCAAAGCAATAAAAAGAACCGTTAACAACATGGACAGTTTAAGAAACTCTGAAATTGGATAACAATTTCATATGGGCTTCTTGTGTAGCCAGCGAATCTAAACTACTACATTCGTCAACTAGTTTTAAAACGCGTCTGCTAGAGAGAGGTTTCCACACCCTAACAAGGAATGCTTCATTCCCCTCTCCAACCGATGTGAGACCTCACAATCCACCCCCTTGAGAGCCCAGCATTCCTCGCTGGCACACCGCCCAAAACCTGGCTTTGATACCATTTGTAACAGCCCAAGCCCACTACTAACAGATATTGTCCGTTTTGGCCCGTTATATATCGTCGTCATCCTCATGGTTTTAAAACACGTATGCTGAGGAAAAGTTTCCACACTCTTATAAGAAATGTTTCATTCTCTTCTCCAATCGATGTGGGACCTCACATAGATAATGTAAACACTAGAAAACAACAAAAATTTCTAGTTCGTTTTTTTCAACAACTAAATCTCCTCGTGTAGAATTGTACCTAGTTCCTCGTGTTCCCCTGAATGCAATTATAATAGCACGTGGATCCTTCGCTACTCCAACAAATGACTGCAGCAATTGAATATATTAAGATGGATATAACATGCAATTAAAAAATGCATGGTCGTTAACTACGCACCTGCAGGCAACTTTCAACATCTACAATCAGCTGCACAACTTCAAACCCCTGTATCAAAGGAAAATTAAGCATTAATGCCAAAACTTGAAAAAGTGAAGAGGTTGGAAGAACATATTCTCGAAATGAAATCCATGATACAGAAATTCTCTTTTCGGGAGCTGAAACCTATTGGTGATAAACCGTTTCATTTTTCTAAGTACCTCGGTGAGGCCACGGCATCGTGTACATGTCCATGTAAATAATGATGTCATATCAGAAATATAAACCTGAACAAAGATGCAGTTTTAGACTTGGTTAGATCTCACATGAAAATAACACTGCTTAACATTCTTAATTCTTATCAAGCAATTGCAATTCGGTTCCGAAAGTACTGGCTTCATCAACTTAAGAAACGTCGTGTTTACCCTTACATACACAATGGGCAAATTCAAATAAGGTTAACTTAATTTCTAATCAGAAACAGCTAGAACCAAAGAGTTTGTCACCCCTTGCGCCATCAGCTTCGCTTATTATAGAAAGGTATTAGGATAGTTTTACTGGAAGTGTATACTTTTCACTTTCTTAGACAGACAGTGCATTGCAAATGATAAAAATGCAGGTAAAAAGATCATCTCCAAAATATTCGTATAAAGGCCCAAGCCCACCGCTAGCCGATATTGTTCTCTTTGAAACGGGTCTAGGGAGAGGTTTCCACACCCTTATCAGAAATGTTTCGTTTCCCTCTCCAACCAAGGTGGCATCTCGCAAGCAATTCGACGACTGTTAGAAGTGTGAAGCGAACTTACTGCGGAAGCATATTCAACCATGATCATGGCAAGGGTGTGGTTATAAACAGATGAACTATTTGTCTCGTACTTCATCAGCTTCGGGTCTACGTTTGAACACAATTTCCAGTGAGTGAACTATTTAAACAAGTTCCAAATTGCAAACGAATTCCACAATTTTCTCTATTATCTCAAATTGCATACGTGAAATGCACAACTAAAAGAGGGCACGGGCGGCAGTCTCACCTCTACCGGCGGATAATACTAACAAGCAACCAAAGAAATAGAATAAAAACCATCCACGCGTTCCCATATACCTAGAAAGAAAGGGAATTAGAAAACAAAATTTCAGACAATATTCCGCGAAATTGATCGGATAGAACAGTTGACATATACCTCTTCATTTTGAAATCCAGATTTCTAGAATAGAAACTAAACAATTCTAAGGTAGGGCTTAAGAACTATCTTCGATGATCTGAGAAAATCAAGCAATCAATCAGGAAAGGGATAAATCGACAAGGTGGAGAAACGGGACATACAAGACTCTTGCCTACAAGTTACCGTCATCGGAACTCCGGCGAAGACTGTTTCCACCATTTCCGGTGACAGAACACGGAGATGTTGCGATTTCTTCGGAATGAAGTACAGAATCGAGGGAGACGAAAAGTTTGCTTGGCGTCCCCGAAAGTTCGAGGGAAACGACATTGACAATAAGGAGAACGAGGGAAATAAAATTCGTTTATTATATGTTATTGGTATAATTATTGGATAATGTAATAATAAATATACGTATAATCATAAAAAATATATATATATATATAGATATATTTAAATTTTAAATTAAAAAAAAAAGTGAAAAACGTTTGTAACTTATTTTTAAAATATTTAAACAAAATATTAATAATTTTCATCTATTTTAATGGATAAAGATATTATTAATATTTTTAAAAATTAAATAATTTTTTTAGATAGGAGTACCAATGTCATAAATATTTTTATTAATTTAATCTATATTATTTTAAAAATAAAATAAATTTTAAATTACACACTTCAGCCAATCCCACTCCCACGTAGCTTTTTGTTATTATGGGTTTATTTAGTTATTTTTAGTTTTTATTAAATAAAGTACATTTAAAATAATTATAAGTATAATATAAATTGATTTATTTGTTAGTGTTTAAAATAATTTTACAATTAATGATTGACAAAAACTTGCATTGAAATACCTAAATTGCCCCTAAATTGTGTTGATATTTATCTACAAGGCCATTACTTTACAGCATTGCACGTGCTGACTGACAGCTGTCGTGCGTCTATGGACAAATACAGTCAGAGGCCAGCTTTTTTTTTTTTTGTTGGTATTTTCCTATTTTAAATAGACGTTAATTGATAAGTTACGGGAAATTGCTCGATTATTTTTACGGAAATCTCATTTACTCGGTCGTTGAAAGTAAAACCGCGTATGCCATAAAGTTGGTTCAGGGAGCCACGTGTCGAAATCGCCGTTGGATCAGAGCCGACCATTTCTAGTCAGCAAGGATTTGGTCTCTTAACACGTGGCCGACAAATTCCACGACTTACCCGTAATGTTTTACCAAAAGTTCGGTCAGCAACTACCCGTCTACGGGCAGGGCAGGGCAGCTCACCATCTAATTAATGACAGCGACAATTTTTATCAGTTTTACCATCCAAACCAGCAGAGCGTCGAGATTCTGATTTCTGTGGAAGCCGATAATTATTAAAATAAAATAAAATTAAGGTACACGTGAGCGATGAGTCAGCACTCAGGCTAGACCTCTATATGCGTGCCACGTGTATTAACAAACAAAAGCCCTTTTCCGTAATTTCGTCGGCGAGGCTTTTGTCTGTTTGGATAAGTGGATAAGATTTTAGAATATGGAATTCCAATCAAGGAACCATAATAATTCAGTTATTAAAATAAGTGGTTTAAAAAAAATTATACAACTGGCAGACACACCGTGAGCTGACTTGGCTTTGGGTCCCACATTAATTAATCATTGACACGTCATCACAAGCCATCGAATTAATTATATTGAATGGTCTTAATCTTGTGGTTAATACGAAAAGAAGAAGAAAAAAAATTCTTTTCTTTTTCTTTTAATTAACAAAAAATAAGTAATTCCGCGGTATAACTTTGGACTTCTGAAATACTGCCACGTGGCATTGTCATTTTCTTGCTTTTTCTCTTTTTCATTTTTCTTCCTTCAGTGGCGTTTTCTTATATAAATTCAAAGCTTCCCCACCCATTTGGCCTTCAATTTGAGAGCTCCGTTTTACCTTTCGCTAAAGCTATCTTAATTTTTTTCTTCTTGCCGTTTGAGAATCTTTGTTTCTCAATAGTTCATCGACTTTCGTCTTTGGATTTCGGAATCGATTTCTGTTTTCTTGATCCTGATTTCTTCGGTTCGTGCGTGGATTTTTGTTTGAACGTTCCGTTTCATTTCATCCCGATTATGGAGGTTTCGGTGATTGCAAAATCTCAAGCGAAGATTGCCGGAGCCGATTTTGGTAACAGAGAGTTAGGGCTTTTGAATTCGAAAGTTGATAGTAAGATTTTTGGTTCAAAATCGAAGATCTGTTTCACTAGGAGTTCGAGGTTTGAAAAGTTGAGAATCCGATTATCGACGAAAGCCGCACAGATGGAACCAGTTCAATCTCAAAACGTTGACGTTGGAAGAAGATCCAAATCAGTGAGTACTATTATACTTCTTCTTAATAGTGTTTTCGTTGCTTTTCCCCTTTGATATCGTCTTGTTTGGAGGCTGAGAAGGCTTGAATCTGTTAGCCGTCAGATTAATTGATGAAAACTGCAAGGCTGAATGCAAGAATCCTTGTTTTATATTAACTCGTAGTTCAGTTTTTAATTACTCTTTGCTGTCTTCATTGAGTATAAAAGTTCCAATGGTTATGATTAGATCTCATTAACTTTGGCTGTTTATATTAAATGAACGCTAAACACAAAAGCTTCTTGATGCTCTCCGTAGCTTGTAATTATCAGTATTAATGGAGAGTTTGAACACAGTACTTCCTGCTATGATATTGCTATGCATCTCAATAGTTGATGTGCGTTGGCTAAAAGTTGGGAAGATCCATTGATATAAAGATTTTTGGGTGAATTTAAAGCGAGAAACATGTTTTAATTTTGCTTGCTTAAGTTCATTATTGACAGTCTTTTTCATACGTTTTTGCAGCTCGAGGGTGTAAAATTGTATGTCGGTTTGCCGTTGGATGCAGTTTCCACGTGCAATGCGATAAACCATTCAAAGGCAATCGCAGCAGGGCTTAAGGCTCTGAAGCTGCTTGGCGTAGAAGGTGTCGAGCTTCCGGTGTGGTGGGGAATCGTTGAGAAAGAAACTATGGGGAAATATGAATGGTCAGGCTATCTTAACCTCGCAGAGATGGTCCAAAATGCAGGGCTCAAGCTTCATGTTTCACTCTGCTTCCATGGATCTAACCAACCAAGAATTCCTCTTCCTGAATGGATCTCGAAGATCGGTGAATCCGATCCGAACATATACTTCACCGATCGGTACAGGCAGCAATACAAAGATTGCTTATCGCTCTCTGTCGATAACCTTCCTGTCCTGAATGGAAAGACTCCAATCCAAGTTTACCATGAATTTTGTGAGAGCTTCAAGTCTTCATTCTCAAATCTCATGGGCTCTACAATCTCGGTAAGAACTAAGGAATACATTTTCATTATTATGAGACCTTTTAGAAAGTCTAAAGCAAAGCCACGAGATTTCTAATAATAGTCTTTTTCGGATTGCATTTAGCCTTCATTTTATGGCTTTATTTGGGTTTCTATTACTTATTGTTGCCTTTTGATCAATTTCAGGGTATCTCCATGAGTCTCGGACCAGACGGTGAGCTTCGGTATCCGTCTCAGCGACAACCAAAATCACATGGTGTTGGAGAATTTCAGTGCTATGATAAAAACATGCTCAGCAATCTCAAGCAACACGCTGAAGCAAGCGGGAATCCTTTATACGGTCTTGGAGGTCCCCATGATGCTCCGAGTTATAATGAAATGCCAAATGCTAACAATTTCTTTAAAGATCATGGCGGTTCATGGGAGTCTCACTATGGAGATTTCTTCCTTTCATGGTATTCTAGCGAGCTTATTGACCATGGTGATCGCCTTCTTTCTCTTGCTTCATCCATCTTCGGCAACACCGAAGCAACCGTTCATGGGAAAGTTCCATTGATGCATTCCTGGTACAAAACTCGATCGCACCCCAGCGAACTAACAGCTGGGTTCTACAATACCGCCAGCCGAGACGGATACGAGGCTGTTGCGGAAATGTTTGCTAGGAACTCAACCAAAATGATCTTGCCTGGAATGGACTTATCAGATCAACATCAGCCTCAAGAATCACTGTCGAGCCCCGAGTCATTAATATCTCAAATCAAGTCAGCTAGCAGAAAGCACGGGGTAATGTTGTCGGGGCAAAACTCATCAAGTTCGGGAACTCCCGGCGGGTTCGATCGGATAAAGAACAATTTGGAAGGGGAAAGTGTGGAGCTGTTCACATACCAGAGAATGGGAGCATACTTCTTCTCTCCAGAGCACTTTCCTTCCTTTGCTGAATTCGTCCGTAGTGTCCATCAACCTGAACTGCACTCAGATGACCTTCCAATCGGAGAAGACGACACCGCGTCTTCGTCACCCGCCAGTTCCGTGGCCGAAGAACAGATGCAAGCAGCTTAATAGAGGGCGTAGAGTATCATATAATCATAGTAATGTAAAAATAACTTTAGTTCTTCAAGGCTTGAGATTAAATTAATACACTTCAGATTGAGGATTTAGATATTACACATCCTCCAGAACGCTGTAAGATTCTAAATTAGATAACCAGAAAGGTTGTTTTAAAGTAATTCAATTATTAATTATGTATCATAGAAGAGATTCATATGAACGATAAAAGAGGAAATGGAAAAAAAAAAAAAAAAAAAAAAAAAAAAAAAGGAAAAAGAATTCATTATTTACACAAACATGAAGAAATATACAAATCACACAATCAAATAAAGAGTCTTCGAATTTCGCAAGTTTCTCTGCGATTCAATCCCTCAAAAAAAAGAACCCAAAAAAAAAAAAAAAAATTAAGCACTGCAAAGAAACCACCACGAAAGAAGCAAACATCCTATGAGTTTTGGTACTTACCCTTCTTCTTAACTTACCATTTTATTGCCTGAAGCCATTAGTAGAGCATCCAATTGAGCATCCCTTCCCTGCATCACAAATGAAAATCAGGATCAATAGTTCTTATAAACACAATGATTCAAATTTTTGGTCATATTTACTCGTTGGGGGGTTCCGTACTCGAGCAGTGAAAACAAACGATGAATTCGGATATGTCAAGCTTGCAACAAAGCCAAGAATCGAGAACATAACGTCATGCTATGTATATGCTAGAAACCAAAACATTTTCGATCGAAACAGTTTATAGAGTCGTGGAACAAAACTAAATCTTGAATGATTCCCAAGGTTAAGCGACATTTTCGTTATATTTACTCGTTCATCTATCAACTCAACTCAGCTTGCCAGGAGAGTTCCAAACTCAAGCAGTGAAAACAACCCATGAATTTAGATATGTCGGGCTTACAACAGCACTAAGAATCGAGAACATAATGTCGAAACAAAACATTTTGGATCAAAACAGTTTATAGAGAGACAAATTACAAGGAATAGAAAAAAGCAGCCCAGAATGTGAAGTGAATGTGATGGTTTGGAAAATGTATAAGAAATGGATAGTCGTAGTAGTGACCATTTTGGGATCATACTTGAATATATGAGTTTGTCGTCGTGCTCGGATTAACGAAAAATTAGGATAACATGAAGCTATAAAGTAGAGTAGATAAATTCTAAACAGACTCCTAAACTATATTTAAATCAGTAGAGTTTGTACCTGTTAAATGATGGGGCTGTCATTCACAAGCAATCTTGGTGTCAAAGCTGCTGAGGCAGATTGCAAAAGCCTGAAAAGTCGAGATCGGGTAACGAAAATCCATGGTGAATAAATCCTTCCCCACTTTTCCAAACTGAAGGATGATCTTCTCTTGTTCTTGTGAAGGAGGTTCGGTTTCCGAAGAAGCGACAAGTTGAAAATTTTTCACGGAAGCAATCGTAACTCGTCCATGAAAATTCAAACACCAGCATTGAAGCTGCTCGTGCCACCTGGGAGTCTTGTTTCTCAGCACCAGCATTTCATCTTTCTGACTAGCTAATGGTTCAGCAAGCAAGCTATCTGCATTTGATTTCGACCTTAAGAACGGGAACGATGGAAACAGTTCCACATTGCTCAATGAGAGCTCGGTCGGTGTCGGAGCCACTCCTCCAGGTTCAACCGCAGAAGCGGGAATAGCGTCCATGATACACTGCATTCTCCTCGGACCCCTGCTTGTTAATCACATCAACCATTTAGGATTTGCAAGACATCTAAAGAAAAATAGTCATCCAAACAAAGAATCACCATAAATCATAATAGCCTTTGGATTACCTTGATCCCAATACATTTAGTTCATACGAAATGTGAGCAACTGGATAGTTCCCAGAAGGGAATTTGGGCGAAACTTGTTTCAAATTCACAAGCCTCGTGGAGCGACTTTTTGTGATCTTCGCTCCTGAATGTGGCGGTTGCCCGTCGAAGATTGTGAACTTAGTTCCTAGGAAATTAGATCTGTTCTCACACAAGGAAAAATGAAACTCTCAGAAACATATTCCAAAATGTACATCTAAATCATAACATCACAGGTATTCAATAGCATACCTCAACTTCCCGACATAGGTGCTGCTCCCTTTCGACAAATCCTCGGCGTGTAAAGAGATAATATAGTCTGTGTAGGTCGGTCGCTTGCATTTCCGAGCAGCAAGAAGAAACTTACCATCATCATTTAGTGCTGTCATGTAGGCAATTCGGCCATTAAGAAACTTACAATTCGGACAAAGCTAAGAAACTTCAAATTACCATAGCAATTACTCACCATTAGTCAAACTGAGGAAGAGATAATAAGTTTGATTGGATCTGTTTCGCTTTATGAAACACTGTAGAAGAGGATCCCTTGGACCAGGCTGCAAGAACAGATTATGAAAAAACATCTTATAATGTGTGATTTTTTCACACGATCAAACCAGTGAATATCAATTAGGCACTTGAAGCTTCCAACAATTTGTTAACTAAAACATAAACTAAGACTAAAATCCTTCTTGAAACAACGAAAAAAATCCTAATAAACATGAACAGACAGCATAAAAATTTCCAATTAGTTCAAAATCATACCAAATATATCCTAAATCCATCAAATCGTCCAAAACCCCCAAAATTTACAAGTAGCGCGGAATACTCGCTCACCTGCTTGATAGAGATCGGGAACGTTAACTTGCCGGAAACCTCCGGCGTTTTGACGATCTCCTTAGTGATGGCCCGCCAGCTCCGGCATACTCCAGCGCAAGCGACGACACTCTTCCTCCGTGGCCAAGAAGTCTCCGATGCCTCGATTCTCATAAGAACCTCCCTGAGAAGCTCCTGAGGCATATTGGCCCAGCAGCTCTGGACGAGGCCGTCCGTTGGCTCCGGCGCCGTGCCGTCCTGCACCACGCGGCGGGAGCGGGACCTCATATCTTGAATGATGCTCTTGAGAGACATGAATTGGACGGATTTCTGGTGGAAAACACGATGCAGATGGAAGAAATGATCAAAGAAGGAGCGGAAAATTGGAGATTCCCGATGCCAGAGAGGCCATTAGAGGTATGTGGATTTCGCTTCGAATCCTCTGGGGATTGGATATGGGAAAAATGGAAGAGAGTGAGATAAATGCATCTAACTCGGAAATTTTTGGCCTGGATTTTTTTTTTTTTTTTCTTTTTTCTGATCTGGGATTGTGAAAAAAGCGGAATAAATGAAAGAGGGGACCGGCTACCGGCTTGGCGATTTATTATTATTATTATTAAAAATAAAATAAAATAAAATAACAGCTTCGATTATTCTGATAATTGCGACAAAATGGGTCGCTCTTATTATGGCTTTGGAGTTAACGACGTAAATGAATCCCAAATAATCACATATGTATTAATTACCAATTTTCAAATTTTTAAAAACACGTAATATCCATATTTTTATTTATTAAATTAGATTTTCAAATTTTTTATCTATTTAGTGTGTTTTTTTTATTTATTATTTTTTAAAATTTCATTAAAAATCAAATAATTATCAAACGTGCATTAAACAATTAAATGACATTCAATACAATTTGAAGCCCGTTGGCTTATTAAACTAGCCAAACATAGTAAATAATGTATTTAATTTAAGTCAGTATTTTTTTAATATAATTTTATACCATAAAATTTAGTCTATTTAATAAAATAATCATTCAGAACATTTGTTAAGTTATAATTAATCGAAAAAATTGCTAGCAAATAATACGTTTTTATTATTCAGTGTATAATAATGATAATGATAATACTAACGGATTGACTTCTGCTTGAGTTTGTTGGGAGGTTTGAATTTAAATTAAAAAAAATAGGTTACCAATTACAATTATAAAAATTAAATAAAACAAATAATGAATGACTTGCCTCACGACCATTGCTGTCTTTCTTTTAATTATTCAACTCGTGAATTTAATGTTTTATTTTTAAAAAATAAAATTTTCAATTTACGACTGATAACAATAATTATTTTCAAATTGAAGAAAGGTTTATTTTAATTCAAAATAAAAAAAGAAAATTATAACTTGTTATCGTGGTTCAAATAACCCGTCTATTAATTAAAATTTAAACTACATTTTAAACCTAATCTGATTTGTTTACTTATTTGTCTGTGGCTGATTTTAATTGACTCTGTCTATGTGAATAAATAATCGAGCCAATTGAATTTTATTTTAATTAACTGTAAGAAGAGTAAGATTCGGGGTAATGTTATTTTAAGATTTCATATGTACTTTTTTTTTTAAACGAAGTATTAAAGCTAAAGAGTATTAATAAAACATTTAAAATTCGAGTGTATTTTACGCTATTAAAAGTTCAAGGACATGTTTGAAATAAAATACTAATGATTTTCATTCAAAATTATCCATAAAAAAGTATTTTTTTTAGAATGTTATTTAAATTTTTAAATATTTTTCATTTGTAATTTATTAATAAAATAAATAAATTAGGACCATGTTAAAATATTGTAATACGTCATCTAATTGATAATTGATAATGAATAACTCACTTAACATTTTATGAAACTTAAGAGATAAACATTAAAAATAATAAATTTAAACTTTTAATTACATGATATATTTTAAGTAGTTACACATATTTTTTCTTAATTAAATAAATAATTATTTTACAAAGCCTTCGTATTAAATTAATTATATAACTGGCCTGGAATGGACGTTGACCCCATTTTCTCATCCTACCTTTGTCCATTTGAGGAAAGATTCGACGGATAAGAACGTCGTCGTTTTCATTACCGGTTCCCTCCTTGTAAATCGGGTGAGGCGAGAATTAGATGCTCGCGCCAGTAAATTTATATATATTATTATTATTTATTTTTTTTTTTTAACGGAAATGGTTTAGGTTCCTATCTTATCTTCTCACACAATTAAAAAATGTCATGGTTATTTATATATATGCATTTTATTAAATTAATTTACTATTTTACAGAGCAAGACTTTACAAATTTCCAATTTTACTTTTATCAATTTATCGTGGGATAAATTAAGGTTAAAAGAAAAAAAAAATGAAGTAATTATTTCGCTAAATTATTTTAAAATATATATTCATACACTTTCTTTATTTAAAATATTTTTTAAAAAGTAGCAATACTAATTACAATATTTTATAAATGATATAAAACTAATATTAAACTATAACTTCATTGGAATAACCTA